CATAGTCTTTTTTCCCTGGAAGAAGTCTTGAAAATTGATCGTCTTCATAAAATCGTTTTACTTGGTTTGAAACAGTAACTGGCAGCGATTTGCCTTGTTTAGCAGATGGCATTGAGCAAATTCCTTCTTCATCCTTGAATTTCAGTGCTTTTTGAACCAGGTAGCGTGAGACATCAAAAAAAGAAGCTGCATGGTTTATAGTCCATGATTTAGGAGTCAGTGTCAAAAGCTGTATCTTCCTTCGAAATGTAGACACTGCCATTTGGTTTTTTACTTCTTCCATTAAGTGGTCTAAATCTTGGGCTTTTTGTTCGATTTCTGCAGGAACATCGCCAACTGGTAGTGAAATCTCATTTGCTGATACACCTATCGCAGTTGCAACATGGTGCTGAACTAATTTTGCTGCTTTGTCTAGTTTTTGGTTGGCATATGTTAAGCGCCTGTGTTTTGGCATACCATGAGTTTTGATTGGAGATTCACCAATGGCTTCAAAACTCTCATTGATTTTGGAACGAATAGAGCTTTGTGCAACTTCATTTTCAATTTCAGAGAAATCCATTTCATTGTCTGAGTCATTTGCATTTTCTTTTAAAAAGTGGAAGTGTTTTTGGTAGCAGTTTCTACATAATTGCCATCCTGGAACACATAGTATTCCCTTTTCCATAAAATCTTTTGCAATTTCGGTTGAGATTTTGTGCCCACCTTTTACTTGCTTCTTGTGTAGCTTAAATGGATCACAGCATTTGTTGAATCTTTTTTCAAACACTGAACCAAACTTTGCCTCATGATGAAAGCAGATGCTATCGATGATGTTATCTCTTAGTCCTGATCTCCACAGCAATACATCTCGTGCCTCTGAATCAATACTGCTAAAAAGCTTGATTCCAGGGTTACGAACGTGATGAAGTTTGTGGCAGTCTTCCTCCAAATAAACACCAAAGTCACACTTTTCAGATTCCATGATCAGTTTTTCAAACGGAAAGCATAGACGAAGATAGATGTAAATGAAGTGAAAGGAACTTTAAGAGTGATTTATATCAACTGGATTCAAGAAAAACAAATTTTGTCATTTCCTGTCAACTTGTTTTGTTTCCTCAAAAGATTAGCAAAGAGGTGTGAAAAACATTATCCTTACATGGATTAAATGATGAATTGATAGCGATTTCCTTTAACTTCCTTTGAAAGGAAATCTTACCTTTACCTACTTTCAATAGAAACCCTGCATGAAAAACACACCCTTGACAAACAGAATCTCCTTATTTCTAAGACACAGTTAAGTCAGAATAAAGCAGGGGTGTAGAAGTAAGGATCTTGTTTAAAACATGTCTTGGATTTACAACAAATTTCTTAAATCAATTAACATATATTAAAACCAAAATCAAGCAGTTTATAAGATGTGTGCTTTGTAAAAGGTGGCAATGAAATAGAAATCCAATAAGCACCATTGAATTATGATTTAACTTTATGTGTTTCCTGGAAAGCTAGTCTGCATTATTTCTTATCACTTTACCAGCTATACAGAAGCAAAAAATAATGTAAAGCATTATAGACAAGGTATTTCAAAATGTTAAAACCAGAAAAAAAACAGCCCCTGGTGTGAAATTTCTTATAAAAGCAATAATCATAACCAAATCATCATGTATAATCATCATAACCAAATGGTAATCATCATAATCATAACCAAAATTGCCAAAATGAACATTTGATTTCCAGTTATTATATTCTGGCACTCTTTCATATACAAACAAAGGGTTTAATCCTTTTTGATAGATTCAGGTGTACTGAATTTGAAAATGAACTCCAAAGTTCCATATCATATCATCTACATCTCCATTTTTGGGGTTCTTTGAGCCCTGGTTCGCAAATTTTGCGAAACAACTTGTCATGCTTCAAGGTCAAAATTTTTAGCTTTCTATAATCTACAGCTAAAAACTGTTAGCATTTTTGAAATCAGCACATTTGATTACCCTTAGTTATCAATTTTCAAGGATATATGACTATTCTATCAAATTTTAGAGGCATTTATGCATAAACCGGTACGGTTAAAAAGGACGTCGCTGAAAATTTAATGCCTATCAAGGTGCGGATTTGAAAATCCTCTAGTTCAGGAACCAATCAAGATATAGAGCTGAAATTTGGGGTTTTTCTATATTTTGTTCATACCTTCATATGTACCAAAAATGAACAAAATCTGAGGTGGTGGGTTACAAATTTGAAAAATATGTGCTGTTTTGACATGGAATGACCCAAAAGTATGTTTGATCATTTGTTGAGGGGTTGGTTGTGTGGGTTTCACTAAATTGAAAAAAGAGGGATTCAAAAGATACAGGCATCGTGGGGCGTTAAGAAAAGTGGGGGGTTTAAAAAATTTGGGGGGCTAAAACCTTACAAAAAGAGGCTTTGCTAGTAGTTTATTAATGTTTGGCATTTTTTTGCAAAAAGTGGGGGGGGGGCTCTAAATCCTCCAGCCCCCCTGCTCCGCGGTGCATGATATAGAAATTAAGTCAATTATCTCACGGAATATACTATCAGACGTTTGTTGTAAACTAAAAAAAACAAATTTTGATAAAATTATTAGCTGAAAAAAGTTAGCTGAAGGAAGCTAAGGTTCCAAGGGTGCCTTGTATATGGACCAGTATAGATTCCATAGCAGCTGCACTCCTGAAAACTTTTTGTCAAATTATGAGTGCACTCTTGCACACCCGAATATGGGCACGGTTTGGGCATGGTTTTGGGGGGCTATTGCAGTTTGGTACCTCTCAGCCTGTGGTTCCATACATAAGGATAGGGTTTGGGTAAGGATCAGTGCCCAAGAGGTGGGAAACTGCATTAGCCCTAAGTTTTTTTCAAATATGGCAAAATGACTTTAATTCTTAATTTTTTTGCAACTTGGATTGGAAAAAATGTTCAATCCTCTTGAGATAAGGGCTGCCAAAAAGTTTCAGACCTGTTTTCACTATCCTGTTTAAAAAATGAAAACATGGTGCACAAATTGTCTGCTTTCATAGCATGTTCAAAACTGTACCAGATGGCAGAGCAAAATCATCTGGGTTCCACAGTGCTAATGTAAACGGAAGGGCAAACCATGAAGTTACAAAGTCAATAAAGTTACAGAAGGAAGTTACAAAAACCAAACTTGTATGGAACAGTGTAAACAAGGTCACTGTGGCCCTGGGGAAAGCTGAAAAAGAAGGCCCCTTGCTACACATCTACATCAAGCACGCTACACATCAGATAATTTTTGTAGTCATTCTCTTGCAATTGTTTAAAGCGCTTTATCATTTTGTTAGTCTGAGTTCCTAACTAAAAGTCAAACTAAAAGTATTGGGTCACATGTGCACGTTTATCACAAATGCACATCTACACTTTTGGCTAATAGCTTGTGCTCTCCCGAGATCTTATCGAAAACTGCCATGAAATCCAGACCGGTATATGGAGAGTTTGTTATTCTTTTCGATGGTAACTCGCAGACTGGAGAGCAAAACACATGTGGTATGAAGAACAGTTGAAGCTATAACTTACTCTTGAGTCAGGAATATTCAGGGGACTACTAGCCATGGCAAATACATGGCAGTCTAGAATAAAAAGGTGGATGAAAAATTTTCCAAATTCCAATAAACCCTCAATAAAACAGGATTATTGGCAAATATTCCCATTAAATTTTGCATAACAAATGTTTTACAAGAATTTGTCATGAACAGAATTTTTAATTGATCTTGGTGTTTTTTCATTTATTCAGAGTATAAAATGATTGGGAACATGACCAGATATTTTTGGGAACATGACCTGAAAAAAAATGTTTTATACAAGCTTTTGAATAATTATTTCTAGAAATTTATTTACATAGCTATTATCTTGATTCCCCTTTTTTGTCTGACCTGTGTGTGAGAAAGGAAATGAGTACTGTGTTGACTTCTTTTTCTGTGTTCAAATCAAATCATTTCCGACAGCCCTCAGACCATTTACAACCATTTATTACACTCTTTTACTTCCAATGTTTTATTTATTTGGTACTTGAGAGTAATAAGAGTATTGAATTCTTCTTAGAGTAGTCACTAACTTTTTCTGTTCTTGATAAGCTTTCTTATGCTTTGACAAGCTTCTTTGTATACACCTATTACATTACAACTATTACATTGCTTAAAAATTATATGCATGAGGGAAGAGAATAAATGAATGGGTACATTCATTCCAGACTCAAACATGTTTGCTTGTGTATCATAAACATATTTTTGTCTTTATTTTGCACAAGTAAACACCAAAATATTAGACCTGATAAAACAGAAACAACCAAACTGGAAAAATTGCAAAATGACTTTTCCCACTTCCAAACAGCCTAGAGCAGAAACAATACATTATTTTGGAGTGTTTAACACTTGTGGTTCTTGAAATATATTGGGAAAAGTGTGTGAATCTAAAGAACCACCAAGTTCAGACTTATTATCCCATTTGCTTAATAGCTGGTACATTTTTGCAGTTCAAAATATTTGTTAAAAAAGTTTTATTCAGCATTGTTGATTTTGTAATATTCTGACTGCACATCATCACACCCTTGAAATGCCTGAGAGAGGTTGTTCATCAAACACAAAGGGAAATATTTTTCAAGGAAGGCCTAATTTTTCAAAAGGTGTCTAGCTCAAAAAAATTTGTAGCAAAAGTATGTTTTGCAAAAAGTTATTTCAACTGTTAACTATATGTGCTCATTCTTTGTACATAAAAATGACTGCAACAACTGCCATCAAAATGAGTACTTTATTGTACAACAATAGGAATTTGATATGATGCCAGCTCAATTGTCGAAATGTCAACAACAAGCTTTAATTTTTTTAAATGATGTTGCAGGAATATTTTCTTGCTCATATGAATTTTTTCGTGACTGAGGCTATTATTTTTGTTCAGGGGCTGTTCCTGAAAAGCACATATTTTGCTATTAAAAATAACATTTTTCCATGTTGTGTATTGTACTCTTGAAAGTATATTGTGGCGTTTTTCAATTGCAGAAATGGACAAAGCTTCTTTTCAAGTAACTAGAGGTATCAAAATATGCCCTCAACTTTGTCATGGTCTACTATGGTGTGACTTGAAAGACGAAGGACAAAGATTATATGAAGAATGTGGAGGACTGAGCATGAAAGAATCAAACATTTGTTTGTTGCACAGAAAAGAAAAAGTCTATTGATTGGCAAATTGACTTCAAGCCTGTCTGCCTGACTGTTTAATGCTTGGAAGAACTGATCTGGAGAAGATAAATTCTTGGTTCTTGGTAAGTTCTTGGTACTATTTTTGCATAAAATCTTCATTATGTCTGCCATATTGTGAAAGGGTGTCGCACTCAGAAGACTTTCTGGGAGGAAAATGTTCACTCTCTGTGACGACATAAAATTCATTCTACAGTCTTGCTCTGAAAGAATGAGGATGTTTCACCCATTTTACAATAATGTACCATTCTGAGAACTTAAAACAGGGGCAGAGACTTGGTCAAATATTGGAAGGGGGGCAAAACTGTTGTTTTGCAATGATGACGTCACATTTCTTCATTGTTTTAAAACAATAACTATTGTCCTCCAAAATATTTCAGGGGTGGGGTGGCCACAACTGCTTTAAGGCTACAGTCATCTATCACAATCTGCATTGTATGCTACCCATCGTTCATTATTCACTATGTTTCTACTCACATGTCACACATTTTTTTATTTATTATTTTATCTTGATATCACAAACTCTACTATTGCTTCTATGGTCATCTTAACTTGCTCAACTTTTTTAGCTGCAATTACTGTTTCACAATCGACTGTGTGTTAACTAGTGGTTGACATCAACTCCTTGATCAAATGCTTACTATCTATTCCTTGTGGTCAAGAAATAATTATTTCCAATAACATCCTGCAGTTTTCGTATGAGTCCTTGTATTAGCATCACTAATGAACTTTTCCTGTGTCATTGTCTTTGCAGTTTCAGCAACTTCTCAGTTGTGAAATCTGCAACAAAATATGCCCCTTTCCTTAATTTTCCATGATAAAAATTTGTTGGAATCTGAGTCTTTTCTACAATTATACCAAGTTTCCTACAAACACTGCCTTGGAAGTTTTCATTGAGTTTGGTGATTTATTGAGGAAGTTCCTTCTTTTTGTCTTTGTTTAGTGTGTTTTGAGCTTTGCCCACGGCTCCTTGCACTTTCTGGAAAGTTTTTTATATTGTTGTCATCAACAATCTGTAAGCACTTTAAGTGGCAGTCTTATTGTATGAGCAATGCATATTGAAGCAGGTTGACTGTTTGAACATCGGGGACTAAAGCAGTATATTGTTGTAGATGTCTGCTATTCAGCAAAGCAAACTCTTATATCTACTTTTGCCAGGTTATCCTTTAGGTAATTTACTGCAATTCCCAGCTAATCACAGGCTTCTACCGACAATTTATAATTCTTTCCCCAGTTAAACTGTTTAAGTCCTTGTACGGCAGGCAACTTAACCTGAACTGTATCCATGATAGGCACTCCAAAATAAAATCTTTTTCTTAAACAGTATTAATAAACCCCTTTTTATCAACATTTCCTGCGGTGAAGTAAAACATTCTCTTGGAGCTCGCTTGTTTTTAATACCCTTGCACTTCATTACTCTTATTTCTTTTTGATTGTTTAAAAACCAATTATGAATTGGTTATTATTTCTTATTCGCATAAAGGTATTTTTGAGATTTTTATTTTTTTATTTATTGTTTATGAAAAGTGCATCTAAAGCTTAAGAATAATATATTTCTGTTTTCTATGTTTTTTATTTTATACACTTACAAGTATATTATGACATTTTTCATTTGCAGGGATGGACAAAGATCTTTGGCATGTTATTAGAGGTACCAAAATTTGCCTAAAGTTGATTATGGTCTACTGGTGCATGACTTGATTAACGAGAAAGAGCATTTCAAGATTGTGGAAAGAAAATAATCTTCTTTCTGTTGTTTCATCAAAGGACTTTACCTTTGAGATGAGATGCAGATAAAACGAAAGTGTTGTTTATAGAGGCTGAAGAGTGTCACAACATCACTTTTGGACCCAGATACAAGACCAAAGTCATCTATACCTAATCTTGGATGGTTAGCATTTTGTTCAGTAGATTGTTCCATCTCAGCAACCAAGATGTTGGCATGCTCACGGTCAGGAAGTTCATGCTCATCCTTTGCACAACTACTTAACAAAGTTCAGGAAGGGACGAATTTCCCTTTGAATTTTTGTTCCATTCCTGGAAACAGCTTTGGAAATTCCAGCAGAGATTTCTTTGTTCCAAACGCAATTTCAAGTAATAGAAGTCAAAAACGCCGGGCAGCCATTGTTAGAGAATGACCATTTGCATATTCTATCATGAAATCCTTTTCACAGCATCACTTCTATTTTAGCTTATTGGCTTGCAAGTTGACTTCTTCAAGCCTTTCTGCTTGATGTATTACTGCTCTAAAGGACTATTAACGGTAATTTTTGGCTATTAGTTTTTGATATAATAATTGATTGTTTTTGCTGTATTGAAGGACGTTGCACTTGCAAGCTTAATCTGAAATTAATATAGTTTTCATCTAAGAAGTTATAACAATGAAAAAATTTTCTCACCACGCTTCTCTCACCAAATGCTTTTGTTGCCAAGAAACCCTCTTTTTTTCTTAATTGATAAGAACATTTTTATCAATTGACTACAATTTTCTAATTACTTGCTATCTATTTATAATATATATTTATCTTTTTTTTCTTGTGTATTTTGTTCCCTCAACAGTATATTGTGGCATTTTTATTTGCAGAGATGGACACAGTTCTTTGCATGTTACTAAAGGTGTCAAAATATGCCCTCAAGTTGGTTATGATCTACTGTGGCATGGCCAAAGATTTTTGCAAGATTGTGGAAAGGTAAAGCATGGAGCAACCAGTCAGTTGATCGTTGCACAGAGAAGATGTAGCTAACTTTTTGCCAAAATAGTCTTGAAGTTGGTTATGGTCTTCTTTGGCATGGCCAAAGATTTTTGCAAGATTGTGGAAAGGTAAAGCATGGAGGAACCAGTCAGTTGATCGTTGCACAGAGAAGATGTAGCTAACTTTTTGCCAAATGGTTATGGTCTACTGTGGCATGGCCAAAGATTTTTGCAAGATTGTAGAAAGGTAAAGCATGGACCAACCAGTCATAGGATCGTTGCACAGAGAGGATGAAGCCAAGTTTTTATCAAAATTGACTTGAAGCCTGTCTGCCTGATCGTTTACTGCTTTGAGGAACTATTCCAGGAGAGATTCAACGGTAATTACTTGCTATTATTTTTCAATGAGAAGTGCACTGTGTCAAATAAGTTGGCACTCACAAGGGTACACCAAAGCTACGTTTTTGTCCTAGCGGAAATAATTGGTAGAAAACTGTACATTTTTAAGGCTTCTCTTTCGAGTTGATTTTTGTTGCAAAAATTGTCTCTTGTTTTTTTTATTGTTCAAAAATGAAGTTTGGCTATTATATTCTGTTTTCTTGCAGGGTTTTGATCATTTAATATTTCTCTGTTTATTGTATATGACAAATTTATTTGTAGCTATCAGAATAATATATTTATCTTGGTCTTGCATATGTATTTTAGTCCCTCGAAAGTATATTTTGGTGTTTTTTATTTGCAGAGCTGGACAAAGATCTTTTGCATGTTACTAAAGGTGTCAAAATATGCCCTTAAGTTGGTTATGGTCTACTGTGGCATGGCCAAAGATTTTTGCAAGATTGTGGAAAGGTAAAGCATGGAGCAACATGTCAGTTGATCGTTGCACAGAGAAGATGTAGCTAACTTTTTGCCAAAATAGTCTTGAAGTTGGTTATGGTCTGCTGTGGCATGGCCAAAGACTTTTGCAAGATTGTGGAAAGGTAAAGCATGGACCAACCAGTCATAGGATCGTTGCACAGAGAAGATGAAGCCAAGTTTTTATCAAAATTGACTTGAAGCCTGTCTGCCTGATCGTTTACTGCTTTGAAGAACTATTTCAGGAGAGATTCAACGGTAATTACTTGCTATTTTTTTTCAATGAGAAGTGCACTGTGTCAAAGAGGTTAGCACTCACAAGTGTACACCAAAGCTACGATTTTTGTCCTAGAGGAAATAATTGGTAGAAAACTGTAAATTTTTAAGGCTTCTCTTTCGACTTGATTTTTGTTGCAAAAACTGTCTCTTGTTTTTTTATTGTTGAAAAATGAAGTTTGGCTATTATATTCTGTTTTCTTGCGGGGTTTTGATCATTTAATATTTCTCTGTTTATTGTTTATGAACAATTCATTTGTAGCTATCAGAATAATATATTTATCAGGTTCTTGCATATGTATTTTAGTCCCTCGAAAGTATATTTTGGTGTTTTTTATTTGCAGAGATGGACAAAGATCTTTTGCATGTTACTAAAGGTGTCAAAATATGCCCTTAAGTTGGTTATGGTCTACTGTGGCATGGCCAAAGATTTTTGCAAGATTGTGGAAAGGTAAAGCATGGAGCAACCAGTCAGTTGATCGTTGCACAGAGAAGATGTAGCTAACTTTTTGCCAAAATAGTCTTGAAGTTGGTTATGGTCTGCTGTGGCATGGCCAAAGATTTTTGCAAGATTGTAGAAAGGTACAGCATGGAGCAACCAGTCAGTTGATCGTTGCACAGAGAAGATGTAGCTAACTTTTTGCAAAAATTGTCTTGAAGTTGGTTATGGTCTGCTGTGGCATGGCCAAAGATTTTTGCAAGATTGTAGAAAGGTAAAGCATGGAGCAACCAATCAGTTGATCGTTGCACAGAGAAGATGTAGCTAACTTTTTGCCAAAATTGTCTTGAAGTTGGTTATGGTCTGCTGTGGCATGGCCAAAGATTTTTGCAAGATTGTAGAAAGGTAAAGCATGGAGCAACCAATCAGTTCATCGTTGCACAGAGAAGATGTAGCTAACTTTTTGCCAAAATAGTCTTGAAGTTGGTTATGGTCTACTGTGGCATGGGCAAAGATTTTTGCAAGATTGTGGAAAGGTAAAGCATAGAGCAACCAGTCAGTTGATCGTTGCACAGAGAAGATGTAGCTAACTTTTTGCCAAATGGTTATGGTCTGCTGCGGCATGCCAAAGATTTTTGCAAGATTGTAGAAAGGTAAAGCATGGACCAACCAGTCATAGGATTGTTGCACAGAGAAGATGAAGCCAAGTTTTTTATCAAAATTGACTTGAAGCCTGTCTGCCTGGTCGTTTACTGCTTTGAAGAACTATTCCAGGAGAGATTCAACGGTAATAACTTGCTATTTTTTTTCAATGAGAAGTGCACTGTGTCAGAGAAGTTTGCACTCACAAGTGTACACCAAAGCTACGTTTTTGTCCTAGCGGAAATAATTGGTAGAAAACTGTAAATTTTTAAGGCTTCTCTTTCGAGTTGATTTTTGATGCAAAAATTGTCTCTTGTTTTTTTATTGTTGAAAAATGAAGTTTGGCTATTATATTCTGTTTTCTTGCGGGGTTTTGATCATTTGATATTTCTCTGTTTATTGTATATGACAAATTTATTTGTAGCTGTCAGAATAATATATTTATCTGGTTCTTGCATATGTATTTTAGTCCTTCGAAACTATATTTTGGTGTTTTTTATTTGTAGAGCTGGACAAAGATCTTTTGCATATTACTAAAGGTGTCAAAATATGCCCTTAAGGTGGTTATGGTCTACTGTGGCATGGCCAAAGATTTTTGCAAGATCGTGGAAAGGTAAAGCATGGAGCAACCAGTCAGTTGATCGTTGCACAGAGAAGATGTAGCTAACTTTTTGCCAAAATAGTCTTGAAGTTGGTTATGGTCTGCTGTGGCATGGCCAAAGATTTTTGCAAGATTGTAGAAAGGTAAAGCATGGACCAACCAGTCATAGGATCGTTGCACAGAGAAGATGAAGCCAAGTTTTTATCAAAATTGACTTGAAGCCTGTCTGCCTGATCGTTTACTGCTTTGAAGAACTATTCCAGGAGAGATTCAACGGTAATAACTTGCTATTTTTTTCAATGAGAAGTGCACTGTGTCAGAGAAGTTCGCACTCACAAGGGTACACCAAAGCTACAATATTTGCCTTAGAGGAAAAAATTGGTAAAAAACTGTAAATTTTTAAGGCTTCTCTTTCGAGTTGATTTTTGTCGCAAAAACTCTCTTGTTTTTTTTTTTTTTGAAAAATGAAGTTTGGCTATTATATTCTGTTTTCTCGCCGGGTTTTGATCATTTAATATTTCTCTGTTTATTGTATATGACAAATTTATTTGTAGCTATCAGAATAATATATTTATCTGGTTCTTGCATATGTATTTTAGTCCTTCGAAACTATATTTTGGTGTTTTTTATTTGCAGAGCTGGACAAAGATCTTTTGCATATTACTAAAGGTGTCAAAATATGCCCTTAAGTTGGTTATGGTCTACTGTGGCATGGCCAAAGATTTTTGCAAGATTGTGGAAAGGTAAAGCATGGAGCAACCAGTCAGTTGATCGTTGCACAGAGAAGATGTAGCTAACTTTTTGCCAAATGGTTATGGTCTTCTGTGGCATGCCAAAGATTTTTGCAAGATTGTAGAAAGGTAAAGCATGGACCAACCAGTCATAGGATCGTTGCACAGAGAGGATGAAGCCAAGTTTTTATCAAAATTGACTTGAAGCCTGTCTGCCTGGTCGTTTACTGCTTTGAAGAACTATTCTAGGAGAGATTCAACGGTAATAACTTGCTATTTTTTTCAATGAGAAGTGCACTGTGTCAGAGAAGTTCGCACTCACAAGGGTACACCAAAGCTACGATTTTTGTCCTAGAGGAAAAAATTGGTAAAAAACTGTAAATTTTTAAGGCTTCTCTTTCGAGTTGATTTTTGTTGTAAAAATTGTCTCTTGTTTTTTTATTGTTCAAAAATGAAGTTTGGCTATTATATTCTGTTTTCTTGTAGGGTTTTGATCATTTAATATTTCTCTGTTTATTGTATATGACAAATTTATTTGTAGCTGTCGGAATAATATATTTATCTGGTTCTTGCATATGTATTTTAGTCCTTCGAAACTATATTTTGGTGTTTTTTATTTGCAGAGCTGGACAAAGATCTTTTGCATATTACTAAAGGTGTCAAAATATGCCCTTAAGTTGGTTATGGTCTACTGTGGCATGGCCAAAGATTTTTGCAAGATTGTGGAAAGGTAAAGCATGGAGCAACCAGTCAGTTGATCGTTGCACAGAGAAGATGTAGCTAACTTTTTGCCAAAATTGTCTTGATGTTAGTTATGGTCCGCTGTGGCATGGCCAAAGATTTTTGCAAGATTGTAGAAAGGTAAAGCATGGAGCAACCAGTCAGTTGATCGTTGCACAGAGAAGATGTAGCTAACTTTTTGCCAAAATTGTCTTGATGTTAGTTATGGTCCGCTGTGGCATGGCCAAAGATTTTTGCAAGTTTGTTGAAAGGTAAAGCATGGAGCAACCAGTCAGTTGATCGTTGCACAGAGAAGATGAAGCCGAGTTTTTACAAAATTGACTTGAAGCCTGTCTGCCTGGTCGTTTACTGCTTTGAAGAACTATTCTAGGAGAGATTCAACGGTAATAACTTGCTATCTTTTTCAATGAGAAGTGCACTGTGTCAGAGAAGTTCGCACTCACAAGGGTACACCAAAGCTACGATTTTTGTCCTAGAGGAAAAAATTGGTAAAAAACTGTAAATTTTTAAGGCTTCTCTTTCGAGTTGATTTTTGTTGTAAAAATTGTCTCTTGTTTTTTTTATTGTTCAAAAATGAAGTTTGGCTATTATATTCTGTTTTCTTGCAGGGTTTTGATCATTTAATATTTCTCTGTTTATTGTATATGACAAATTTATTTGTAGCTGTCAGAATAATATATTTATCAGGTTCTTGCATATGTATTTTAGTCCTTCGAAACTATATTTTGGTGTTTTTTATTTGCAGAGCTGGACAAAGATCTTTTGCATATTACTAAAGGTGTCAAAATATGCCCTTAAGTTGGTTATGGTCTACTGTGGCATGGCCAAAGATTTTTGCAAGATTGTGGAAAGGTAAAGCATGGAGCAACCAGTCAGTTGATCGTTGCACAGAGAAGATGTAGCTAACTTTTTGCCAAAATAGTCTTGAAGTTGGTTATGGTCTTCTGTGGCATGGCCAAAGACTTTTGCAAGATTGTGGAAAGGTAAAGCATGGACCATACAGTCATAAAATCGTTGCACAGAGAAGATGTAGCTAACTTTTTGCCAAAATAGTCTTGAAGTTGGTTATGGTCTTCTGTGGCATGGCCAAAGATTTTTGCAAGATTGTGGAAAGGTAAAGCATGGACCAACCAGTCATAGGATCGTTGCACAGAGAAGATGAAGCCGAGTTTTTACAAAATTGACTTGAAGCCTGTCTGCCTGATCGTTTACTGCTTTGAAGAACTATATCAGGAGAGATTCAACGGTAATTACTTGCTATTATTTTTTCAATGAGAAGTGCACTGTGTCAAAGAAGTTGGCACTCACAAGGGTACACCAAAGCTACGATTTTTGTCCTAGAGGAAAAAATTGGTAAAAAACTGTAAATTTTTAAGGCTTCTCTTTCGAGTTGATTTTTGTTGCAAAAACTGTCTCTTGTTTTTTTATTGTTGAAAAATGAAGTTTGGCTATTATATTCTGTTTTCTTGCGGGGTTTTGATCATTTAATATTTCTCTGTTTATTGTATATGACAAATTTATTTGTAGCTATCAGAATAATATATTTATCTGGTTCTTCCATATGTATTTTGTCCTTCGAAACTATATTTTGGTATTTTTATTTGCAGAGATGGACAAAGATCTTTAGCATGTTACTAAAGGTGTCAAAATATGCCCTGAAGTTGGTTATGGTCTGCTGTTGCATGGCCAAAGATTTTTGCAAGATTGTGGAAAGGTAAAGCATGGAGCAACCAGTCAGTTGATCGTTGCACAGAGAAGATGTAGCTAACTTTTTGCCAAAATTGTCTTGAAGTTGGTTATGGTCTGCTGTGGCATGGCCAACGATTTTTGCAAGATTGTGGAAAGGTAAAGCATGGAGCAACCAGTCAGTTGATCGTTGCACAGAGAAGATGTAGCTAACTTTTTGCCAAATAGTTATGGTCTGCTGTGGCATGCCAAAGATTTTTGCAAGATTGTAGAAAGGTAAAGCATGGACCAACCAGTCATAGGATCGTTGCACAGAGAAGATGAAGCCAAGTTTTAATCAAAATTGACTTGAAGCCTGTCTGCCTGATCGTTTACTGCTTTGAAGAACTATTCCAAGAGATATTCAACGGTAATTACTTGCTATTTTTTTCAATGAGAAGTGCACTGTGTCAAATAAGTTGGCACTCACAAGGGTAGCCAACTCATAAGTTGCCTTAGAGGAAATAATTGGTAGAAAACTGTAAATTTTTAAGGCTTCTCTTTCGAGTTGATTTTTGTTGCAAAAACTGTCTCTTGTTTTTTTTATTGTTGAAAAATGAAGTTTGGCTATTATATTCTGTTTTCTTGCAGGGTTTTGATCATTTAATATTTCTCTTTTTATTGTATATGACAAATTTATTTGTAGCTATCAGAATAATATATTTATCTGGTTCTTCCATATGTATTTTGTCCTTCGAAACTATATTTTGGTGTTTTTTATTTGCAGAGCTGGACATAGATCTTTTGCATATTACTAAAGGTGTCAAAATATGCCCTTAAGTTGGTTATGGTCTACTGTGGCATGGCCAAAGATTTTTGCAAGATTGTGGAAAGGTAAAGCATGGAGCAACCAGTCAGTTGATCGTTGCACAGAGAAGATGTAGCTAACTTTTTGCCAAAATAGTCTTGAAGTTGGTTATGGTCTTCTGTGGCATGGCCAAAGACTTTTGCAAGATTTTGGAAAGGTAAAGCATGGACCATACAGTCATAAAATCGTTGCACAGAGAAGATGTAGCTAACTTTTTGCCAAAATAGTCTTGAAGTTGGTTATGGTCTTCTTTGGCATGGCCAAAGATTTTTGCAAGATTGTGGAAAGGTAAAGCATGGACCAACCAGTCATAGGATCGTTGCACAGAGAAGATGAAGCCGAGTTGTTACAAAATTGACTTGAAGCCTGTCTGCCTGATCGTTTACTGCTTTGAAGAACTATATCAGGAGAGATTCAACGGTAATTACTTGCTATTATTCTTTCAATGAGAAGTGCACTGTGTCAAAGAAGTTGGCACTCACAAGGGTACACCAAAGCTACGATTTTTGTCCTAGAGGAAAAAATTGGTAAAAAACTGTAAATTTTTAAGGCTTCTCTTTCGAGTTGATTTTTGTTGCAAAAACTGTCTCTTGTTTTTTTATTGTTGAAAAATGAAGTTTGGCTATTATATTCTGTTTTCTTGCGGAGTTTTGATCATTTAATATTTCTCTGTTTATTGTATATGACAAATTTATTTGTAGCTATCAGAATAATATATTTATCTGGTTCTTGCATATGTATTTTAGTCCCTCGAAAGTATATTTTGGTGTTTTTTATTTGCAGAGCTGGACAAAGATCTTTTGCATGTTACTAAAGGTGTCAAAATATGCCCTTAAGTTGGTTATGGTCTACTGTGGCATGGCCAAAGATTTTTGCAAGATTGTGGAAAGGTAAAGCATGGAGCAACCAGTCAGTTGATCGTTGCACAGAGAAGATGTAGCTAACTTTTTGCCAAAATAGTCTTGAAGTTGGTTATGGTCTGCTGTGGCATGGCCAAAGATTTTTGCAAGATTGTAGAAAGGTAAAGCATGGAGCAACCAGTCAGTTGATCGTTGCACAGAGAAGATGTAGCTAACTTTTTGCCAAATGGTTATGGTCTGCTGTGGCATGCCAAAGATTTTTGCAAGATTGTAGAAAGGTAAAGCATGGACCAACCAGTCATAGGATCGTTGCACAGAGAAGATGAAGCCAAGTTTTAATCAAAATTGACTTGAAGCCTGTCTGCCTGATCGTTTACTGCTTTGAAGAACTATTCCAAGAGATATTCAACGGTAATTACTTGCTATTTTTTTCAATGAGAAGTGCACTGTGTCAAAGAAGTTGGCACTCACAAGGGTACACCAAAGCTACGATATTTGCCCTAGAGGAAATAATTGGTAGAAAGTTGAAAATTTTTGAGGCTTCTGTTTCTAGTTGATTTTGTTGCAAAGAATGACTCTTGTTTTTTTATTGTTCAATAGTGAGTTATAAATTGGCTTTCACATTACTTTATGACCCTTGACATTTTCTTGCGAGGGTTTTGATAATTTTACATGTCTCTGTTTATTGTAGATGTCCATTTCTTACAACCTTCATTGCATCCTTTTTAAATTTTAGCCTACAAAATTTGGTCTACAAAGTCATGAACGAAGATGCACAAGGAGAAGGTGCACAAGAAGAAGGTGCACAAGAAGATGTTCACAAGAAGATGTTCACAAGAAGAGGAGCAGAGAAGATGGACTGAAGTACTCTTGAGAAAATGGAAGATTGTTATTAAAGTCTTACATGTACACACAAAAAAGATTGTGAATGGATTAGAAATGCAGTATTTGCTGGCAAGTTATTGGTTCCAAAACGCTCATTAGAGCAAATTTTGATTTTTTCCCAGTGGGTATGCTTGATGGCATTTTGATACTTTACATAAAGTTCCATCCTTTTGCGCGTTTGGAGAAGTAAGCGTGTAAAGGGTCATTTGAAGGATCTAAAGCGCGTAGGTTTTCACGTTGGGCAAGGTAAAGCGGTTACTGGAATGTCTTTGTGCATGTATCGACACTTTCAGTATTGGACAGTGATAGGCAACTGTTGGTTCACTCTGTTTAAATATGCTTGCCAGCATTTACTGTATTTTTTCTCCACCATATCATAGGGGAAAGGTCGTTTGAGCAGCTTTTTCTTAAGCCCAACCATGTCTTTTTCAATTTTAAGGTCTAGTTAAGATGAGGCTAAGGTGCGAATAGGCTCTATAGTTAACATGATTTCTAATTTGATTTTTATGAAAATGATAACTGCTTGTGCTTCATACCAACAAAGTTTCCCTAAAACAATTCTAAGTTTACTTATTGGAAAAGTTTTTAAGGGAGTTAAAAAATATTTTGCTAACCACCTAGCCTATCACTATTTTTGCTTTATCAGCTGGAAAATACTTAAGCAAAAATGAAGGAAATTTGTATAACCGTATCATAGGCTCCGCGCTTGCATTAAGAATTTAGGCACCTTGATTTATTAGAACTGTTTCTTTACATCCATTTCCTATCTATAACCCTGACTCTTCCTTCGATGTTTTTTCTAGATCGTTTTCAATAGGATAATAATAAGGATAAGAATCAACAATCTTTATTTGCAAAGACAAATATCATGATTAAGTTTGAATTTAGGATCATGAACTATTTTGCAAAGAAAAACAATTGTCGTAAGTAAGGAAAAGCTGCTTGAATGACCAACTTAGAACTTCTTACCAGTCAGCTGAATTTCACTTTAAAGGGATGGGACCCTCAAGTCTTTAGGCTAAATTGCTGTGACGTCATGTGCCTGTAGCCTGGTGCCTGTGCTTCAAACTGGATCAAAGATGTTACACTGATGTTACGAAACCAATGTATGCCTTGCAGCTGGACAGACACCCGCCATTTACAATCAGATTTCAGTTTGGAAAATATAAGGAAGTCGTGAAAGAATTCTTCCCCAGGGATGTTAACAGAAGGGTCGTGAGAGCAATTTTGGACAGCAACAAGAATGGCACCTAGAACTGGTGAACGGACAAAGGCAACATGGACTAAGGACCACTTGTTCAAAGGATGGTCAATTCATATACACCCTCTCTTCAACTCTCTCTCTGATATCAAACTATAATTCTTTTAGTCTTTTCTTACTCGTATTTCCTTCCATCTTTCTTTCTATTATTTCTTGCCCCTTAAGTTTTTGGTACAATAAGATTCAATATACTTGTCCTATTGGTATTTACGCGTCCTATTGATGTCTAAAGAAAAGCAAGTTTTCACCAAACATAGGAAATTTATTAAAATTTCGTTCATTTCTCACGTTGAAGTTAGGTGCGAATATTTCTTTCCAATGTTCCAAATTTTCCCTTTGGCCCTAATACCTAGTTTTTTCTACCAAAATGCTTCGATATGCTTATTTCCCCTGATTCAGGAAAGGTTTCATTCAGTTATTATACAGAGTTCTCTTTTCATCCTTCGTTTCAAAATTCTTCAAGGGTTGAAAATCTCCCTCGAGCAAGACGGGGGTTGGGCAGGGCAATTTCTTTTATGTTCATTAGTATTCCCTCTAATGTCTTTGATTACAAGAATGTCATGTTTCCCGGGCTCTAGCTTATTTATTTCAGGTTTATGTCTTTTGTTTTTCTACAACACTGTCTCCAAAATGCTTTCTTCTCTACTTCATATGCGACTTTCTACATCACCAAGCACCAAACCCCTCTATTACATCACCAACCAAAAGTCTGAAAGATAGAAGGAAGCAAGGATGTACGCCATCAAAGATGAAACTCACTACTATCCTCCATCGGAAGAGCATGTTTGTCCGTGCGAACGTGATTGGACCGTGCGTCACTTTGTCCCTTTTCATCCCCCATTTCTTATCCATCCAATGAAATTTGAAAAAATGAAGGGTTTCAAATTCAGCTGATAGGAGGAAGTTCTTAATCCAGAATTCGTTGTAAATTGTTGTTTAAAAAAGTAATTTAATGCAGGTGCAAAACCCGTAGAATAGAGCCTATGGCTGGGGTGGCCCCCGTTTATAATACGGTTTCGCTACTGATACTTTGCCTCACAAATTTCGGATTTACGCCTATTCCACAAAACCCTTCAAGAACCCTGGAAGGCAAATTTTCTTATTTTTAAAAGAAAACCTTTTACCCCACAGGAATCCATTTTGGCTGCGTATTGTCAACGTCAGATTAAGGTGCCTTTTTCTGCAAGAAATCATTTTCTAGAACTCGGAGAGTGTTAAACTTTTTCCCTATCTTAGAAAAGGTTTTTCTTTTACAAATTCATATTTGTGTGCCCAAAACAAGTTAGGCCTAACTTCATCTTTTTCAACCTGTTCCAATTTCAACAACCCTTTTTTATTTTCTACATTTATTTCAGTTTCCAAAATTTTGCCCAATTTTTTTTTAAAAAAACAGCCCTGGAGCTCTTTTTTGTCTCAGAAAAGCCGGTCTTCCTATTAAAATGGTCTTTGGCTTCCCAAACGTTAGGCATTTTGATCCTCATTTCTCTAGACAACTTCAATTATTCCTAATTTTCCAAAACTTTCTCGGTTTCCTGGCTTTTCTCGTCTGATCCCACAGTTTTACCCTGTTGTATGGGTTTTGAAAAAAAGCTAAGCCAGAAAGCTCTGTAATACGGTATTGCACCTGCATCGTGTCTGCACATTCTCTTTACGGATTCTTGTATTAGGGATTGGGAACAGTGAATGTTTGTGCGGACACACCCCCACCCCGCCCCGCCGTGCTGGGCCTCTTCCCGCGGAGTGCTCCGACGTCCTGCCTGCGCTGCAAGATTCTGGTGGTCTCCAGCTGGTCGTTCTCCGCTTCATCGTGTCTTGCCATCTCTTCAAGTTTGTCCTTCATCTCCAAGGTAAGAGGATTTATTACCTCTCTTCCACTATCTCTTTTATTGCTTGTCATCTTTGCTTGTATATTGTACACATTTAATCAGGATCCAAACTCATCATTGGGACATTAATACGTAGCTTTGTTTACCTCCAAACACTGGGTGGGGGCAATGTTTTCGGTGGCTGTTTCAATGATAGGTAACTTTAACGGCGAGTGAATCATATTGTATTAGAGTATTCTCTTTGCTGCAACGATGTCTTGGTGAATGGGAGTGCCGCAATGGAAACGAAAGGCTGCAATCTAGCAACTAAAAGTGTTGATCGGGGTTGTGTTGTAAGGATAGCAATTTCTGATCCGTCCTGGCTCTCTAGTCGGGTGCGAGGGTTTTTTGTATATGTAGTTCTTTTTATTATTATTTAATTTACCCTATCGGTCAAGGGTACGGCGAAACGTTCTGTTGAATAGGTAACCTTGCAGTTCATCACGTTTATGTGCGCCTTTTATCATTTATTAGAGTAAGAATTTTTCTTTGCATTTTATAGGATTAAATAATTAAGTAATTATGTATTAGCAATTATTTCAAGTTACAATAATAACTAATTTTGAGTTATCGTTTTTTAAACTTTTATTTAGATTAATCGCGTAAAATGCAACTAAAGATATAAATCAAAAATACTGATAATAATAATAATTATAACGTTAAATAAGAGCGAATTATGTTGTTGAAAGTAATTTAATACGTAATACAATTATTGGGGCGGGAATTTCCTTGATGTATCCCTTTTACTTACCATAAAATTGATATAAAGATCTTGGAATTGATAATATTATTGATAATTTGATAATATTTTGTAATTGTACTCGAAATAATGATTATAATTATTATTATTGTGTGACTTTCACGGCTTGTATTGTTAAAATGAAAGGGTTAGATCCAATAAACTAAACAGATAGTTATTTCCTGGTGAACTAGGTTTTTTCTTTATCAATATTCGCAAGTACTAGCCTCAAGTTAATATAAAGCTACAAAATTCATTGATGTTTATCTAATTTATTATTCCAGAATAACTAGCTTTAAGATCAAATTTTGTAATTTTTCAGGACAGGAGGTTTTTCGGCAAGGTAGTCCTTTAGTTCAAACTATGTTCAAACATGCATGAATAGATAAAAAATTGTAGCACTAGATGATATCTCTAATCATTAAACAACTCAAACTTAAATTAATCTACTCTAAATTCACTAAGTAGGCATATAATTATATTTGTTTGTATAATATAGCAATTTATTCTAACTAGCCCTTTTTAATAATATTTTTATTTCAACTCTAACTAGTTTCTTTCTCATCTTATACCTTTTCTTTTCCTCGACATTTTTAAAACCAATTGATGCTTTTCCTATTTTTCAAAAAAATTCCCATCTAATTTTTAGCGCTGGTTTCTGTACTAAATTAGAAAATCCTTTTTCGTTAATTTTGTGGTAAACTTTATACCCGAACACTGTTTAAAGTATACACCTCTTTGGAAAAGTTTTTTATTCAAACTGTTTTTAGGGTCAATGATTTCAGAGTTCGTAAGCCCGGAAATTTTGTCAAAGTTCCCTTTTTAATTCCAAATGTTTTTCGGATTTTAATAATGTATTTCTTTTTTTATCTTTATCCAAAACGTTCTGGTTTTCTGAAGAACTAAATACTTTACGCAATTCAGTTTGCCCCCTTACATCAAGGGTTTTCATATTTATCCGTGGGTGTTAAAAATTATTTTTCTTTCATTTCTGTTTTTTCAAAAGCGATTTTTACATCCATAAACAGTACAAAAACCTTCTTTTTCATGATTAAAATTGGCCTGTTTTTCCCTCTTCCCTCTGCTGCCCTTTTTTCTTAAAACTTTTTAATTAAGCTATGTTAGTAAAAATTTCTTAGTGTATTGTTTGTAACCTGTTTTAGCAATATATTTTTACTGAGTTTTATTTCTCTCCGCGTTTTAAGTAAGCATTTTATTTTTATATGATTAGTATATTGCGTGATGAACTGCCGACGCTTAGGCTCTTTTCGACCATTCGCTGCCAAATTTCCCCTCGTCCATAACACTGCAACGGGACGATTTTTCTGTGTGCTTGGCACGTACCGGGCAATGACGAGAAATGCTGGGTGGCGCGTAGACGTTGTGAACAGTGGCCTTACTAGTCAAGTTATCAAAGTTGCTGGTAGGTAGGCTTTGGTGGTCTTGGTCAACGGGTCTGCAACACCTCTCACATCTCACACCGATCAAACTGCAAGTAGTGCGCATTTTAGCACTGTTTATAAAAATTCTTAATTTTTTCCCTAAAAGCAGTGTGATCTTTCGGCCGGTTAGGTTGTCTGTTTTAGGTTTGCAGGGCAGTGCCCCCAGTAAGCCAATGGTGTCTTGCAGCAACGGGGAGAAATGGTGCAATATGATTTACCCCTCAGAAATAGGCTAGGTTAGGCCTTAGGAGATGAGTTTTGGTACTGGCTCTTTGTTGTACAATATACTTGTTAAAATGACGGGCAGTGGAAGAGATGGTGTAGGAGAAATTAAATCCTCTCACCTTAGAGATAAAGGGCAACCTGGAGAGATGGTAAGATGGATGGAGCGAAGAACGACTGGTTGGGGCTCATTAGGGTCTTGCAGTGCAGGTGGGGCGTTGGGGCACTTCGTGGGAGAGGCCCAGCATGGCGGGGTGGGGTGGGGGACCCTTTATGCTTGTAAAAAAATTTTCGAAGAAAAATTTTGAACCTTCCCCCTGTGTTTTCTCTCGGAGTGCAGACTGTCCCCCTACTTTTCAGCTTGGAGACGAGCATATCCCCCTGACTTTTCAGTCGGAGGCCAGCCTGCTGACTCCGTTGGTATCCCCCGGTAAGCGGTCTTCCCCAGCTCCGGTTATCCGGAGCCAGGGACTACCGCCCACCGGGAAGCGCATGCGCCGTCCGAATCCCAGCTCTTTGTTCCCCTTTTGAATGACCCATTGTTTCCGCATTTCCCATTGTTTCGCATTGTTCCATTGTCCATCTATTGTTCCATTGTCCATCTGTCCATGTGATTGCCGCTTGAATTTTCTGGAGGAAAAACAGCGCTAGAGCCGGGATTCGAACCCACGACCTTGTGACCTTTGACATTAGCAGTCACCCACTAATACCACTGGACCACAAGGCCGCTTGGGTAGCGAGGGTAACAAGTGCGAGTATATTTTACTTTTCCAGCGATTGATCGCAAGTCTACTCCCTTCCTCTTCAAAGTAAACAGAGTTTGAAAATTGTCTAGGCACTTAGAATGATGGAATGAATGAATTATGAACTTCTTGAACAGAAAAACAGTTTTTGCGAATATTAGAGATTTTATTACCATGT